TAGTATTGAAACAATTTCTTGAAGGGATTCTTTCCTATGAAAACAGTATTGGGCATAAAAGCATATTATTAGAGGGTAAATGTGTTAATCAGTTTTCTTTCACTATAATAAAAGTACCTGGCATAACTAATTAATAAAGAGGAAAAGGTTGTTTTTGGCTTACAGTTTTGGAGGTTCTGTCTATGATAGATTAGGACCATTGTTTTGAGCCTGTGGTGAAGTAGCACAACATGGTGGGAACACATGGTAGAGCAAAACTGTTCCAGTCATGAGCCAGGAGGCAAAACAGAAGAAGGGATCAAAGCCTCATAATTCCTTCAGGGATACACCTGATACCTCCAATTGGGCCTCAGGCCTCAAATGTTCCCTACCTCCTAGCAGCATCATGGTGGGGACCAAGCCTTCAATACAGGGGCCTTTAGGGATACTCAACATACAAACTGTAGCAGTGAATTTGTTCAGTGTAGGCCCAGGACAGAGCACAGTGCTCTTCTAACTGCAGTGTGCACAGGTCCATCTGAGATCTGCCAAAATGTAGATTCTGATTCTGCAGATCTGGCAGGATCTGGAATCCTGTACTTCCAACCAACTCACATGTAAAGTAGCAAAGGTATTAGTGGTTAAGCTGGTAGTTCTGAAACCAGACTGCCTATATTCAGATGCAGGCTCCACCATTTCTAGCTATGGGCCATTGAGGAAGGAATTGAACCTGTTTACCTTTCAGTTTTCTCATTAGTAACAAAGTAATAATAATTAATAATATTATTAATGATAATAATTAATAACAATAATTGTTAATATTTATTATTAATAATGATCAATAATAATAATTCTATCTCACAAGCTTGTGGTGAGAAGAAATGTAAATCTTAATGAATGTAAATGTTCCAAGAACATAAAACACAGTACCTGACACAAAGAAAGAGCTCCATAATCGTGAGTAACTTAATTTTACAGATCAATGGCTGGAGAACCAAGATATTAAAAAAGAGTTGCTTCCCATGTGATGCAATCATAAGAATTGGAAGTTTCAGTTAGTGAGGGATAAACATTGTTCTGTTTTCTTGGACTGATTCCAGTGGGATTATTTGAAGCTGTCATTCTTGAAGGGTGCATAAGACCTGTTCTGATTAAAACAGTGGAAGTCTTTTAGTTGCTAAAATTTTGTGATTAATGTTGAAATGGTGGTATTTGCTAGGGTACATAAAACTGAACTTTTGATAATTTGAGTATTTTACCTATATAAGATAAGAAACATCTGATTACTATCCTTCGACCTTTTCAATTTTGTAGATCTTTATTTATTATTATTATTTCCATGAAAACAACGCTAAGATTTTTATCAATTGTTCCCACTTTCTATTGACACCTAAGCAATTTACTGAATAGTAATATACTATCTAATAGACAAATATAACTATACATGAGGCTAATCTTATATTTTTCCTAATAAAAGGCCTCCTCTTTTTATAGTGAGTTAATTTGCATAGTCAGCTTTAAAATTTACAGGGAAATAGCATCTAGGCATAAAAATGATGCGAATTTGTGTTATCATAAGTTTATACTTTATGTCATAATGGCTTGATTTCTTATAGGAATACAAACACAACAGCAAATGACTCATTTGAATAAAACTTGAGGACGGGTGATCACTAGGTCATACAGCTAAGGCCTAATCTTAACTATGTAACTGATTCAACTTTATATAGTAAAATTAAAGCATATGAAAATAACTTATTTCATCGAGAACATTTAAATACATTCCTGCTATTTTCTGAAATATTAAATGATTAAAGTTGACTGCTTTTTTGGAAGTTAAATTGTATCTTAACCATTACAAAATATTATTAGAAATTTACCTATCTAGGATAGTGCCTTGGAAGTACTGGAGTTTGAACTCAGGGCTTTGTGCTTGCTAAGCAGGTGCTCTAACCACTTGAGCCACACTCCCGCCCTTTTTGCTCTGGTTATTTTGGAGATATTCTGGTGTTTTGCCTAAGCCAGCCTAGAAGGTTATCCTCCTATTTTAAACTTCCCACCATTGGGGAATGACAGTTGTGCACCACCGTGCCCAGCTTTTTTCTGTTGAGACGGAGTCTTGTGAACTTTGTGCCTCAAACCTTGATCCTCCAGATCTCAGCCTCCCAGGTAGCTAGGATTACAAACGTGACCACTGGAGCCTAGCCAGGTTAGTGACTTTTGAAAACATAAGGAGTGAATATTTTGCCAAGAAAACTAATATATAAACAGAATATTCTGAATAGGTTGATTAGATGCACTGGAAATTGTCATGACAATTAACCACTATTTGCAAATCACCAGGGCCTTTGTCTAATTCATACTTTTCTGGTTTGTTTTTCTGGTCCTATGTTTAACTGAAAGTGATCCTCTATAGCTGATTGTGTATCACTCTTTTGGCATGCATTTAGAAGCCTTACAATACCTCCCAAATAATAAGTACTCCTTGGGAGAGATGCTAGTTATCCCTCAATATCTATTTTCTCCTGCTTCCTAAGTAATAAAATCTCTGAATGCTAGGGCTGCCAAGAATACCACACTTCTCAGCTTTCTTTGCAGGTATGTGTGGCTACATGACTAAATTCTGTCAATGGGAAAATCTGGAAAAAGTCGGTACAACTTCAGTGAAATGTGCTTAGACTTTTTGGTTCTCTCCTTCCTCTTTTTTCCTTTTGGCTGACTGTAATGTCTATGTGATGACACAGACATTTTGGATCATGAGGTCAAAGCCACTTCTTAAAGAGAAAAATACAATCTGGCGTCCTGATGACCATACTGTACCTATCTTTCTCTTCCCGTACTTACGTGAGCGACAAATAAATTTTTACCATCTCTTTCACATACTGCTATTTCAGATTTTCTGTCACTTGCAGTCAAATCTAACTGTAATTTATATGCACTCAAATATTTGCTGATGCATCTGTCTTTCCTTTTGGGTGTGATCATTATCGTTATGCCTTTCTCTCTGTCATCTGTCTACCCTATTCAAAGCCAGGCTAAGATATAAGGAAAATGGAGAACTACATTAAATAATACCTGAGAACACTGAGAAGGTATTAAATTTAAAAGTTAAGTTCAGGGGAAGAAGAGTTAAAGAAGCTACAAATCTTTTCCATTCCCAGTAGTTTTGCATTATTAAGAGACATTCTAGGTAAGACTCAAAGTTAACTCCCAAGATAATTAGACAAAAGCTAGACCAGATGTCTAAGCTAAGTTTTGGTCTCAAAATAATTACCTTTGTTAATTACCAGTAATTAGTGTCAGCATCCTAAAGTTTCCTAAAAACCCAGGGAGAGAGAAGAGGGAAGGGAGGGGGGTGTAGGGAGGGAGCGATGGAGGGGAAGAGAGAGGGACTGAAAGAGAAAGAGATAGATGAGAGAGAGAGAGAAAGAGAGAAAGAGAGAAGAGAATGAAAGAATACATGCATTTTCCAATACAGTTACATCATTAAGTCATCGTCATCAAATCCTGATTAAGATTTTTGCCTTTTTTTTTTTTTTTGCTTTAACGGAGTCTTACTTTGAAGTTTTTATAGCATTTAAAAATAATTCTGTCTTTTTTCATTGCCAAAATGATCACTTTCTTTATCTATATAACTTTAACCCTTCCCCCAATAGAAAAAAAGTCCAGCTGAAAATGGCCCTGGCAGAAACACACAGGGATCTTGGTGCAGTCTTAGCATGCACTCCTTGGCCAGAGGACTGGCTACTAGACTCCAGTTCAATGGAGAGCTGAGGGTTTTGTCAGAGGCTGGTGATTAGCCTAGATTTTTCCAGCATTTATTACATTTAGAAGCCTACCTGGCACTTCATACTTATCTTGTGTGGATGGTCCTTTATGAGAACAGAAATTCTTATAGATACATCTGCTTGTATGCCACCTAATAGTTTCATGTGTACTGGGCCTCCTGTTTTTGTGCTTAGTTTCTTTTAAAATATTTAAAGGTAACATTGTTTGGTATTTCCTATGAATAATTCATTTGTAGATTTAGTCATTTTAACTGCAAGTAACAGTGGAAAGAATTCTTTACTCTTTCTCTCCTTCTCTCCACCACAACATCTCACATTTGACTCCTGGCCTCCCTCAGGCCTGTGAGGATCAAGTATTCCTCTCTGTATGTGTATGTAAGTGTTTACAGACTTAGAGAGAAGGAGCCATGCTTTACTCTTTTTATATCTCCAGGCCCAGAAGACATACATATAATGTATTGAAATTTTTTTTTGTAATTAATGAAATATACAGACACGAATATTGCCAGGCAGTGGGACTTCCATAGGCTCAATGAGTCATGAGATGGAGCAGCTTTTCTCATGACTTAGTTTGTGTTTTAATGGTGAGTCTCAGGCTTATTTTAGTACACAGGCTATTTCTTAATGCTGAGATGTTGACAAACCTGCCTGCTTGCAGACAGGAAAACAATTATGCATAAAATTCATTAGAAAAGGAAGGAGAGTAAAGTTTGATGATAAAGTAAGATGTTGTTATTTTGTTTTAATAAGTATCATGTATAAAGTATCAGCCCATGCTAAAAAGGAAAGGCTGTTATGTTTACTCATGAAGACTACATACCAAAAAAGAAGACAATTCATATACTCATTAACTGCCTATTTCTAGAGACTCTATATTCTGCTGACCACCATCGTACTAAAACTTTATGGCTTTTATAGGTGTACATCTAAATTACAAAAACAGTTGCATTTTTGGATATGGTATTATTCACTGCAGGGTTCATTAACCGAGAAAAGGCATGAGGCACGCTTTTAGGTTATTTCTGTATGTCAAGTGCACATAGGCATATTAATTTGCTTTATGTAAATAAATATATTTGCTTTATGTAAATTTGGAACTGCAAAATCCTGATATTAAATATTTTCACCCCATGATCACTGCTTATTATGGTATGATCAGAACCACTCAGTGTAACTGCAACTTTCCTTTTCACAGTTTGTTGTCACCAATCTATATTTTCTTTAATCCCATACCTCAAGTGCTGTTCTGAACTGTCCTGCTGCCACGGCATATTTCTTTTGTCTATAGCATGAGCTGGCATCCTTTAAGGCCACCTGAAGCCATTTGTCAACCTGAGGCAGAAAGTTGAAATTAGGTGTACCCACAGGGTCTACTATTTCAGCAGCTCGGCGTGTTGGCTGAATCCCAGTGGACATGAAGGACTGTACAAACTCATAGCTCACGTTCTCCTCATCAATGTAGACCAACTTCATTTCTACATCCATGATGTTTTTTAAGGGGATGTGAGGCAGAGGCATGCTGATTAACTGATTGTCAAGTTCCATCATCTTTGCCTCTTTCTTTCCAGCTGGCTTTTCTTCACCTTCTGCCTTCCGTTTAAAGGCCACTTTCTCTAAATCATTGCTTTGTTTTTCTTTGAGGCTCTTTGCCATTTTTAGTCTTTCTGCTGTGATTTCTACTTGTTTATCTCCACAGTTTTTCTTAATCTCTGGTGGCACTTCCAGGCTGTTAGGTGAATTTGCTAAGGTGGACATTTTCTTACTTGTGTTTATCTTTGGAAAAAGATGATCATGATAGACTCTCTTCAGTGTAGTCTCGAAATTCTTACTGTTTCCTGAATCCATGGATCCCACAAAATTTCCTGTAAGGGTGAGAAGAGGGAAAATAATTAAAATAATATTTTGAAAATCTATGGCTTAGTTTATGGTGAATTTCATTTGAAACACTATTTTATTCATTGTATTTATTGCCTTGAAGTAAAACTGAATTTATACCACATCATCTACTTACTGCTTTACTACAGCATTATATGTTTCAGTCTCAAAATTTACTAAGATAAGGATTTCTTGAAAACACATCTAGACATTGCCTTAAAAAATAATCTACAGCTGAATAACACTGAATGAACATTTTTATGGGATGTCTAAAATCATTGAACAGAAAAATCTTATACATAGTCACTGAGGACAAAAAAAGACCAAAAAAATCCATTTCTATATTAATTTCCTTAGAAAGGCAGGTGGTCTAGAACTCATTATAAAACACACTTCTAACCTGCATGATATGCTTGGAAATCTAAAGAAACCACAGTTGCTTTCTCTGAAAGGCTTCCAGAAATGTTGTGAGCACAATGTTTCCTCTATTTGTTTTCACCTCAAATTTATACAGATTTAAAGACAACTATTGTTCAGAACAGACTTTAAAGCAGAACATGACCTTCATCAACCCTACAGTAAAATGGAGCCCTGTATTCATCTTAAGTCTACTGTATTAATATTTTTATAGTAATGGTATCAACAGAGTACATTTTATGGAGACGAGACGTTTCCTTAAAACAGTAACAATCAAGATCTTTAACAGTCTTTTGATTCAAAGGTTTCTAAATTACTAATTCTGTTTGTAGATTTGCTGCACAATATAAAATATCTCAAGATCTAATAATTATTTAGTGTTATTGGTTCCTATTTTCTTTAGACTCTTTAACCTGTCACATTCTGTTCTGGAAGCAATTTTGCGGAGGAAATAGGCATAAGAAACACATTTTACAAAGAACACTGGGACGGAGGTTGAGCTGATCGTTAGCAGCTGATGTTCAGCAGGATCTATCCATTCAAATCATTGTTTATTCCCTGGGACTGCCATTCACTAACTCCTAGCCTGGCGTTCTTCCTCTGTAGAATGCTGCTCTCTAGGCCAGCCAAGAGTAGACCCACATCACACTAAAAAGAGGCTAGAAAACAGCAAGAAAAAGATTGTGATAATAAGCTACCAATGAGATGAAAGCTAACATGTGCTTCTATTTATCTAAAAGGACAGTGCCTGACTCAAAAAAAATCCTGAGTAACTTCTCAAAGCTTATCATTTTGTTAATGTTATTGATTATTTTCATTGTCTATTTGGAAGACAGAAATTTGGCAATGGAAGACCTTTTGAATAACCCAAACTGTAACCCAATAGATCTTTAAGGAAAGTAAAAGAAGAATTAAAACTCTCCAACGTCTTTAGCCTTTGAGGCTCTTTCTCCCTCTCCATCACTATACATAGGTGTCATCAGGAAAGGTTTAATGTTGAGTCCATGTTATACTCAATTTTGAAGGAGATCTGCATGACTGTGAATCTTATGCCCCACCAACACAAGTTTACTTTGAGCAAGGCCTGCTCTCTTTTTCCTCTCTTGTTATCATTGCTAGCATCCAATATGTCTTTTGGATCACTAATGTCACCACTTAAAGTGGACAGAGGAAAACTGTCTTGGTCAAACACTCTTGTGTTTTCTCTTGGATTTAGTAAAAATTAGATTAAATCCTTCAATTAAGATCTGTGGTAGGCTGGGGCATGGCTCAAATGGTAGAGTAATTGCTGCGAAAGCATGAGGCTCTGAGTTCAAGCCTTAGTACCAACAAAAATAAAATAAAAAGCTCTCTGGTGAATGGACACTCCAAATGTGCATCTGTTTCAATAAGTTTCTCTTAGTAGCTGAGATGCTACTCTTGAAATTTGTTTAAAGTTCAAAATATTCAGTTTTAGGATCTCTGGTTCATGTTCATTCTCACAATAAACTATAAAAATATGACCAGTAAATATTATTGGTAACAAGCTATTCTAAAACATTCATGGTACCCCCCAGGTATCTTATCTCAACACTGTCTACTTCTGATACATTAAAATATATCAGAATATCTGTAGTTGGTTGCCCTTAGTAACATTTTTAGCAGCATTACCTATCTCTGCTGCATTTTTCAAATCTCTTGAACACAAGTAAATTCATCATTACCTTTGCAAGCACTTCTTTTGAAGGTTAATTGTTCTCTCTCTTCCTCCCTCTGCCTATTTTGTCTCCAAACTCCTCCCACCCCAATCCTCCTCCCAGCTGTCCCCACAGCCCTGTGCTTTTCTTTTCCTATAAGAAGGAAAGTTTTATTGTTTTTATGAAAGAGGTTTCTGAATATTTCTGCATCAGTCCTTAAACCTTTCTAGTACTATATCCACATGCATGAAAACAGAACAATTAATCCTGTTAAAATCATTTTAAGAAGGGCAGAGGGGTGAGGAGGGTTGATAGAAGGGGTGAATTTGATTAGGGTACATTATATGCATGTATGGAAATAGTATAATGAGATATCTTTGCACAACTAATACATCTGAATAAAAATGTTTAAAAAAGAAATCATCATTTGGCTTTCAGTGCAGATTCATACCAGCAAAAATAATACAGGAGTAAAAAAATAATGTGGTACACATAGAATACTCAGAGGGATTAAAGAGGTAAGCAAATATTCAGCTTTCAGACAGCTAGAACCTTAATTATTCCAAATTTATCCAAGAAGTAATACTGTAAGCCTCCTTCCCAAATCAGAACACACACCTGAATGTCTGAAAGTCCCCTAGCAGTATGCCAAACCTAGTGAATATTTTACAGTGCTGGTTGCAAATCACATGACTTTGGTTTCAGATGTAGAGCATGATCTTTATAAAAGTTGTTGCACATGACAGAGGAGTGGTGGAGCACATTCACTAATAGTTTTTCCAAAATTTATAAAACTCCATTTAACAAATGTGAATTTCAAGGCTTTTCACCACCTAGCCCAATGTTTGGTTCCCTTATTTAGCACTTTTCCTATAAACTAGCATGAAGTCAAGCTGAACTTGTTAATTCCAAGAGATGCTCATTGTTAGTCTGTTTACTAAAATTTCCCATCTTCCTGTCCCACCCCATTCAACCTGTCCAAACCAAGGCAGGAGTTATCCCTCTCTACCTTCTTAGAACAGCTGTAACATTTATAGCACTTATTTCTTACATCACAGTTATGCATGCACGACATAGTTCTTCCAATAAACTCCTGAACACCAGAGACTCACTTTTACCCAGACATCAGTTCAGTATTTTACATGGAGCAGGCTTCGATAAATGTTAATCAATACGAATGCTATGAATCAAACACTAATTTACACATATTATGAGAAAGCAGAGTTGACTTTTTTCTAAAGGTATGACCAGATCTTTGAAAAAGATGTTTCTAAGAAGTTTTGATGGATTTTGTTTTAAATTTGGTCCTGGGTAAAATACATTTTCTTCTTTGATAGTTCAAGTGAATCATGTAAGAACTAGATTTAAACTATCAACCTCTTCACTTTTTTTTAGTAGTCAAGTTGATTAAGATGACATTAGTCAGTGTTCTTAAGGCACTGAACTACACTTTAGTCATTACTTCAATAAATACTTTTAGAGAAACTATTACACAATCATTGTGCATGTCAAAGAAGTATTTGCTGATAACTGTAAAATTGCCCATTCTTTAATTTAAAAGAGAGGACTGTAGAATTGATTTCCTTATAGAGACATGCCTTAAAATAAGACCAACAAATATTGATATGGAACATTAGAATAATCTCCAAAGTTGTATAATAAATGCAGATACAGGAAACAAAGAGTGGCTAATGTTCAATCACTTCCAGCAGGAAACAATTTTAAATTTATTCAGTAGATTTTTCAACACATTTTTTTTTCTTCAAACATTTCATCAAGTTTTCTGTTCTAAGTGGGAGTTTCTATTGCTTCTTAGACCCAATTGGTGTTTTGCGTGGCTATTAGTAACAAATTATTGATTAGATTTTCACTGAAACAAGCATTTCACACATGGGCAGTTCAGAAAAAGAGAATCCTTAAAAATGTGCTCCCTGAAACATTCAACATCACAGTTGCTATGGTTTTCTTTCTTTAAAAAAAAAAAGATCTAATTTTAACTTGCTGTTAAATGTAACCAGAAAGACATTATGTTAGTCTACGAGTACACCTTGATATTTTTAAAAGCACGCTGCAAAATGTTCCATTTAGTAATCAATATCGAGCACCTAAACCACCAGGAAGATACTGTGCTAGGTAGTGCAAGGGAGACTAAAGATGACCACCTTCTTGCATTCAATGCTTATAGCTGGGAGAGCTCATGTGGAGGATGGGCAGTGGAGATGTGTAGATAAATAACTTTATTCAGAGATGTGCTTTTACTTGGAGACGTGCAGGAGAGGTGGAAATGCATCACAGAACACCTTCTATATTGATGTACAGTTTCTCTAGAGCCTGGAACATAATGGACCCTCAAAGCACATTTGTAATTTAAGTGAATGCGTTGCTGAGGTGCTATGTTCTACTGTACTATGGCAGCAATAATAGGCATGTTTCTGTAGGAACATGGAACTGAAGGAGTTTCAAGCTATGTGGGAACGGGTTTTTTTGAGACACAGAATAAATATCCCTATGCCAGCAATTTCTCATCTCTTTTATCTCATCTCTTTATAAGGAATGGTGCAACATTATTTGAAGGGGGAGGTGAATTTGGCTTATAATGCTTGTTAAGAACTAAAAAAAATTACCGTAGAATATTTATGCAAAGTAATACACAACAGGGACTCTTGGTGTATAAAGTTATTTCACTGGATTAAGCCATTTGTTTTTCACAACTGTTCTATAAATATTATTAGGCTTATCTTATTAACAAAGAAACCAAGAGGTTAAACAACTTGAAAGATATCACCAAGTGAATTTACCAGACCTGACAATTAAACTCAGGACATTAAATGTTGAATCCATGACTTTCAGCCCATATGATAACCAATTCCCCTGTATTGTGCACTCTGTTGTTA